CCCCTTCTTGAATCAGGCATGTTTTTTTTTTTTACTGTACAAATAAATGCAGCCTTGCTGAGCAGAAGAGACTTTTTTTAAAACATTAGAAAATATTACAGATCCCAGTCTAAACACTATGTTTGAATGCTATAATAAATGTATTAATAGAGCTGTTGCAATTATTATTATCCTTATTATTGTCTTTTTTATTTTATTTTACAGAACAAAGTAAAATTACAATAATAACATTTATTAATGTTGATAGAGTTCTTTCTTTTTCTCAGCTTTTATTTTGGTAGAAACCCGCAGGAAGACCTCAGTGCTTCTTTTTGTTGACAACAGTAGGTTTATAAATGATTCTCATTATGAATTTGGGAAGACGTTTGTTGCACGTATCGTATTGTCACATGCCTTGTAAAAATTCATAAAAATGTTACTGAGCAACTGACGAATAACACTATTTTAGCGCAGATTTTCCTCGCGCTTTGGACTTTGAGCCCTGGTGCCGCGAGCTCATGCAGCGCTGTTTGAATATATGCAATTCGTTCGTGTATTAGAAAACACAACGTTCTGCAGTTTATTTAATTGTTTAAGGGCATTTCGCGATTTCAGTCATCATGCAGTTACCAGCAACAATCAGCCCTTCCACTTCTCATCGTAGACATGCGATGCAGTGCTAATCAGTCTCTCGCTGTCGGTGCTGTAATGATTTTTGCGTCTTTCTCGGACACTTTTAATTTAAATGTTTCCACACTGTCGACATGTTTGTTGCATTTGCGCGACTCTATTTGATCGTGTCACGTCATTGTTCGGTACAATTTATTCGGTCTTTTCACTTATTCAGCCGAACAACCGAAAGAGCTTTTGTTGCTATTTTTGTCCGAATAATTTCGGTTGCCGAACATTCGGTGCATCCCTAGTTATTTTACTGAAATATACAGTGGTGGTTTGGACTTGTACCACTTTATTGATTGCAGCAATAAGTCACGTACAGAGTTTTTGTATTTAATTTGACATCTCGCATTTAATCTCATAAAATATCTGATATTGCTGCTAAGATTACACTCTACACTCAGCCTCCAATAGAAATAGTAATTTTTTTAAAGTTCAGTCTGTACAAGAACCAACTCAGACCTCTTTCAGTGATTAAACTCAACCGTGAAAAATGTCTTTGGATTGACTTTCCAGGGATCAACGCTAAGGATTTTTTCTACTGGCCCGGTTGGGCCAGTGGTTCAAATTTTTACTGCCACAAAAAATAAAATAGTTGCTGTTAGTGCTGGGCGGTATACCGGTTCATATACCGGTGTTTATTTTTGTTATGATATGAATTTTTAAAATACCGCAATAGCGGCCCGGTCATGCATGAAAAAATATATATATAATTTTGAAAAACACTGTGATATAAATGTTTGGTCATACCGCCCAGCACTAGTTGCTGTTATCATTGTTTTTGTATTAGGTATTGTATTTTGTATTTTTGTATTCTAATAAATAAGCGTATATGACACCAATATTTTAGATACCAGTTAAATTTTACAATTCTCTGTTTCAATTTTGATACCACAGCAAAACAAATATAAAGTTTAAACATTATTAAAGACAAGTGACAGCCAGTAAATAAGAACAAATGAACAAATTACAAGTAATAGCACAATTAAATATAGGCCTATAGCACAACAATAGAAATGAAATGATGCTTTAGGTTTTTATGTTTGTAGATGTTCAGGTACAGATATTGAAAAATCACATATAAAATAACATTTGCATATTCTTCACTCTTGTGTTGCATCTTGATTTTTCATAGCCATTTGAAATTAGAGGCAATCACTCTCTGACCGCAGGCGGCGCTTATGGTACAGTGATACAGGTACAGCGTTTCCTTGCTTACCGCTGTAAACACAGCAGTGCTGCGCGTATTAACACTAATTTAAATGCATCATACGGAGACAAAATAAAAAGAAAACTCCATTTCTGAAAACAGTCAGTTCCGTTCCCCTCAGAAACACATTCATGTAAAATTCAATGTTTGGATTTTCTTCCTATATTTCGCGCATCGTGAACCGTGATCTTGTTCTGTCTGCTACAGTATTTTCTCCTCTTTGTGTGCATCTTCAGCATCTCTGGCCTCTGTTAACGGCCATTTACAGACCAAGTATAATAATAAGGTAATATTTCCACACAAATGGCCATTGGGAAAATGATTGCAGTGCAGTTTGTGTGCAAGCACGGAACAGAAGATAGTCTGAAATAAAACAAACTCCAGTGTATAAATTCAATATATATTAACCATTGTTAAAGCTACAAAGTTGCTTGCCAGGACGGGTATTTTGACATACTTTTGTAAATATTTGCCCGTTCAGGTGACGTGGCTGTCTGTGCGCGCGCTGTTCACACAGAACACATCGTGCGAGTACTGAACGGAGTTGTCTTTCGCGCCCAAATGCTTTTTAATCGCTTTAATTTTGAAATGAACAAGTCTTAAAAACACATGCAAATGATAAAATGTTGTGACGACGCTGCAGTGGCCCGATCGGGCAATTATTGTTTTAATTCTAATAATTGCTATTATTATTATTAAAATATTAGATTTTTTTATTATTATAAAAAATCTAATAATTCAATCTAGTAGAGTAGTAAAATTACATAATTACATTACTGATATTTGTCTTAATTTTTTTGTTGCTGTTGTTCAAACTGTGTAGCAGCACATTAAATATTTTTGCAGACTTTTGTAATCACACTAAGTAGGGATGCATGATGTATCATGATACAATATATCTGTGGCCAATAGATTACTGACCAGTAGCTGGGAAAAATTTAATTATTATAATTTTTTTCATCAGTGGAATTTCCGGGATGATAAGTTTTGGTATATTTGCGTTCACCAGAGAATTAGTCTCTTAAGTACTTGCAGCTTTTCTCTTTTCAGATTATCTCAATCACATGTGCAGCATGTGTGACCAGGAGTATGTGTAGCCAAGTTATCATGTCATTTCACTCTGTGGGGATTATTACAGCATCTTTGCACCATGTTATGTTATTTTTTGCACTCATCTAAACCATGATAATCTGCCATAAGTAAAGATATGGCATTTTAAGTACTTCGTTTATGGGTCAGTCCATCTTATAGCAGTTTAGTAGAGGTTACTTGACCGTTATTGTCAACCATTTTGAGTCTGATGAAAGAAAAACAATATTTTTTTATATATATATTTTGTGTAGCAAAGAAGATTTTCATTCACAGTTGTTTACACATTTACATTTTTAAATTGCCATTTAACTTTTTACAGGTTGTTTGTTTCAACTGACTTTTCACTTATTGTCATAAATGCTTGTGAAAGGCAACCACAAAAGATAATTATTACGTTGGTGTGTTACAGTTTGAAGTGGAATACAGCAAATTCTACAATAAGGGTCAAACTGTTTTCAACTATGCACCCCAGTGACACCATTAGCAAGCAATTTCAAGAATGACTCAAAATAATTATTTTGTGAATTCACTCCCACATTTAAATGAGGCTAATGAATATTTGTTAGTCATATGTTATTTGACATGCTGGATCACAGAATGAAACGGTGACAACAAACCTCATTAACTCAAGTGAGTTAAATAATCAGCCATATGCATTTGCACTAGACTTGTGCCGGTATTCGGTAATGCGATATATCACGGTAATTTAAAAACAAAAGTTCAATATCGTGATAATACCGTATACCGTAATAAAAGCATTAGCAATTAATCGCAACATGAAAATTTGATACCGGCATATCCCTAATTTGCACATGACTTAATGTGAATATTTCAGTGTGACAGACATACAGTGACATCAAATTGTTAGAAACACATATGCAATGACATCATTATACAACAATCAGTGCAAAGGAAGGGCTGCAATTGTTTATTGAAATGAACTGTCTGAAAGAACAAGTGACAAAATAAAAAAGGCTGTAAAAAAAAGTAGATTTTTGATTCCAGTGCCTTGGAAACAATTCTTTTTCAAATTGTCTGAAGTGTCACTCACTTTACTTCAGCACAAGCTCACTAACTACTTTTTAATGGCTAATTCTTGATAACCGTTTTATATATTAAAGCCTTTACTTAAAGGCGCAATATGTAATTTTCGCCGCTAGAGGGTGGGTATTCAAAATAAACAAATAGACAAAGGCATAGTTTGATGACGCCGTGACTGAGTGTGGAATCATGGGAGTTGTCGTCTTCATCCCCACAGCCGATGCAATCCGACGGGACTCGGGCAGAAATCATGTTCATGGATGAGATAATGATTTATTAACTCTTTGGTTTTTCCATGTTTTCTACAAAACAAAACCGGAAATCGAGGGGTTATGACGTCATTGGCAGGCGACACAATGTCACTATAGACACACTCCGTGTCACTAGTTAAAATTGCTTATTTCTCTGGATTTAAACATTCTTCGAAACATTTGGGATAATGTAAGTACACAAGTCAGCAAAATATATAACACTGTTCTAGTGGTTTTTGGATATTTTAATAAAAATGTTTTACATATTGCGCCTTTAATATAAATACTTGAGTGTAGGACTTACTTTCTGTATAGAGATAGCTTTGTTGCGCAGTAGAAAACACTGTCAGCACATCGGAAGTTTGCTGTTACATATTGCTTATGTGTGCAGTGTGAAATGGGTTTTACACTACACTCAACTCCACCAACATACCAATGAAACAATGTGTTTGTTGTGTTGCATGAAATTACTGAAACGGCAGAAAGCAAGACACATCCTTGCATATATCATGCATGCTATATCATATACGCTCATATATTTCTATTTTCTTTCTCTGCACAGACACGGCTGCACCCCTTTCTCCCTCACTTTTTTTTTTTTATTAAATTTTTTTTTTTTTACTTTTTCCTACACTGTTGCTCCAAACTCAACAGTCAATGTTTGTTGGAGAGGAAACGTGCAAGTATAGACAGACCATTTCAGAGCAACAATGAGCACATCAAAACCCAGTGGACTCAAAGCACCCTTTCTCCCTCACTTTTTTTTTTTAATTAAATTTTTTTTTTTTTACTTTTTCCTACACTGTTGCTCCAAACTCAACAGTCAATGTTTGTTGGAGAGGAAACGTGCAAGTATAGACAGACCATTTCAGAGCAACAATGAGCACATCAAAACCCAGTGGACTCAAAGCACCCAGCAAAATTGGCAGACCAGCCAATGCTGGGGTCACAAAGACGTCTCCTTCTGTAGGTAAGAGCCATCTCTTTTTACCATATATAAATATATCATTAATAATATTGTTTCTGAAGTAGCTCTGTCAAAAATGGTTTTATTTAATTAAATTTATTTTTTTGGCATTTTCTGTACTGTTAAAATCAGTGGGAACCAGCAACTGTTTGGTTACCAATATTCATCAAAATATCTTATGTTCCATAGAAGCAAGAAACGGTCTAATTTTTGGGTGAACTAACCCTTTAAGGTTCACTTTACTACCTTATTTGTGTAATTTCAAATCTAAAAGTTATTGTAAAAAATTCTTTCTGTAGTCATATGGCTGTTTAAGGTGTTTAAAGGACTTGTTAGGAAAACCAGACTTGCAGTGACCCATTGAAGTAATGAAATCAGGTCAAAAATAAAAGCAGCCTATGTTATTCTAAGTTTTTTAATTCGATTATTAATTAATAATGACATAATGACAGTTTGTATATCAAGTACAGAATCAGTAAGTGCATTGTGGTAGTTGGAATTTTGAACAAAGCTTATTTCTTTCCTTCCTTTGGAACTGGTGCTGCTAAACCACCACAAGGTGACAAATCCTCAGCTGAAGCCCAAGATGCAGGAGAGCAGTTCAAGATCGAGGATCGTGTCTGGGTTAACGGCAACAAGCCAGGTGTCATTCAGTTTTTAGGAGAGACCCAGTTTGCCCCGGGCCAGTGGGCTGGAATTGTACTTGATGAGCCAATTGGGAAAAACGATGGTTCAGTGTCAGGTGTGCGCTATTTTCAGTGTGAACCGTTGAAGGGTATTTTCACACGGCCGTCCAAGCTTTCACGCACAGAAGGTGAGGAGGACGGCACAACGACGGCTCCTCCGTCCCGTGCTGCATCACCCACACCCTCCACTACATCAGTGTCTGCTTCAACCAAGAAACCAGCTTCACCCACTAAAACTGCTACACCAGCCTCAGACCTGGTGCGGTCAAAGAGCGAGTCAGTGTCCAATCTGTCAGAGACTGGCTCGGTCAAGAAAGGTGATCGGGAGCTAAAGATCAACGATCGAGTGCTGGTGAGAGTGTTGTGATGGTATAGTGATGAGCATTATTGTGTGTCAAGTTAGGATAATTCAAAGATTTAAGATTGTCATTTAAAGCAGTGGTTCTCAGTTCCAGTCCTGCTCTGCACATTTTGTATGCCTCTCTTATCTGACACACTCAGTTCAGTTCATGGATCTCTCTCTTCTTAAAGCTGATGATCTGAATCAGGTGTTCAATAAGGGAGATATACAAAATGTGCTGAGTAGAGGGGGATCCCAGGATTGGAATTGAGAACCAGTGATTTACGGCATTTTTTAAACCGCATTTTACAAGTTCGTTTATACTCATTATTTATGCATGTTTTATGATTAATTGAGAGATTGCAGTCCATTTCTATGAAGCCTGTACAGTATTTATAATGCATTATAAGGACATTTTTTAGGCATAATGCATTTATAATTCCATTAAAAATGTTGTTGTATCATCTGAATAATCTACACCAGTTATATAACATTGCAAGCTACAGTACAAATATTTATCTTTAATTTGTGTTTCCTCAAGCTTTTAAACTACTTGTCTAAAGATTGGAATCATTAAGATTTTTTTTTTTAATGTTTTTTAAAACATTATATTTTATGCACACCAAGGATCCATTTATTTATCAATAAATGCAAAGCAATAATAATGTGAAATATTACAACACAAGAACTGTTTTCTTCATTTTATATAATTTTAAAATGTAATTTATTAATGTGATGCAAAGCTGAATTTTCAGCTTCATTACTCCAGTCTTCAGTTTCACATGATCCTTCCGAAATCATGCAATCCGAAATTAAAAATATAAGTTAAAAAGTAAGATAAAGTAATACCTTTATTCAACAAGGACACATTAAATTATTCTAAAGTGACATTAAAGAAATGTTTCATTTTAGAAAATTTTATTTCAAATAAATATGGTTCTTTTGAACATTCTTTTCATCAAAGAATCCTGAAAAAAAGTATGTTTTCCAAAAATATTAGGCATGCAGTTGTTTTCAATATTGATACCAAATCTGCATATTAGAAAGTTTTCTAAAGGATTATGTGACACTGAAGCATAAGAGATGTCTTTTTAAAAATCGTTTAAAAATCTTTGATCGGTAGTGTAAAAGCTTAAAGGGGTCATATGATGCGATTTCAATTTTTGCTTTCTCTTTGAATCACAAATGCAAACATGGTTTTATGATGCAACGCAATGTGTAAAAAGACAGTATAAGTCATTATAATCCATAATTATGTCCCCACTGGATGCAACAAATGCCTCGTATTTAATGGGTTTTAATGTTTTTGTCTCGTCGCTACACGGCATCACAGTATGTTAACGGGCGTAACCTTTCCGTCACACGCTTGAGGTATTTGGCCAATCACAACACACTGGATAGCTGCCCAATCAGAGCACACCTCGCTTTTCAGACCGATGAGCTTTGTAAAAATCGACACGTTTCAGAAAGGCGGGGCATAGAGGAGAAACAATAATGTACAGTATGTGGGAAATAATGTGTTTTTTGAACCTTAAACCGCATAAACACATTTCATTACACCAAATACACAAAATAATGTTCTTTTTAGCAGCATCATATGACCCCTTTAAGGATTTGGCATGCTAAAACCTAGAAGGTTTGAATATTTGAAACTGAAGCATTCAAGATAAATGTTTGTATTGTAACGTGTAGTGTTAGCTGGTTCTTGTGAAGTGTGAACACTCTGAAGTAACTATTTCACCTAGCAGCAGGGTCTGTTGCTCTTTGTGTCTCAATGTCTCAGCAGTCGCAATATGAGAAGCCTCATATGAAATGGAATGTGAGAGTTCAAATTGCAATATATGATAAAATGATCACAATATATATTTTTGGCAAAGTTGTGCAGCTGTATAATATAATTGTTAAATAAAAACAATCAAAATAAAATATATTTTATGTTTACTTAGGACTGGACAATAATTCAGTATCAATATGTATCGCGATATAATTTTTTTCAATAACGGTGATATGATTTTTAAACACATTACCGATATTTCGATATACATTACCAGTGTTTCCCATACATTGATTTATTTGTGGCGTTTGACTTCGTTGAATAAACATGAGCACTGCACGTTTCAAAATCATAACACGGCGCGGGTGTTTTATATGAATGTATCTCTGAAGGAAACCGACTGTCTTCAGAAAAGTTTTGATGACATATTCATTTTTATCTGATAAAGTAGCGTTCATTAGCGGAGCTGCTTTGATTACAGTCATTACTAAGGAAACCGCTAGTTTTACCAGTCTAAAAGCGCCTCCTGCTGGCAGAGAATGAATTTGCATTTTCAATAATAAGTCTCCAGCAACATGTTTTTGTTGTTGCTCAATTTTTGTTTTCTGCAGCAACTCCGAGCACTGTTCATATTCTTTATCCTGACTGAAGCACATTTGTTTTAATTAGGGCTGCACGATAAATCGCATGCGATATTTGATGGATATTTGACACGTGATGGAGATTTACCGCTGATTACAGAACGGCTTTACTGACAAGATGCGCGTTAAATATCGCATGTGATTTATCGTGCAGCCCTAGTTTTAATCTATAAGAATAATCAGCCTACACTACCAGTCAAAAGTTTTTTTTTAACAGTAAGATTTTTTTAGTTTTTTAAAAGTTT